CAAGCCGATCTTCCTTCCTGGTATTGTAGTACTTTTAAAGATTTCTCACCGGTGAATGACACATGATGTAGCCCAGCGGTTAATCCTGTCCTCGCGCCAGCTCGTTAGAAGTGAGCTACGTGCATTAACTGTGTTCCGATCGATATGATCCCTACACAGTGTTCATTGCTCCCTACTTCCTGAGCAGGGGAAATCCGTTGAAGTTTACTTCACTTCGGAACATGGGCTGGAATTGGGAACCGTTGATGTAGCCTATTGTAGTAATGTTGTCTCTGGTATTCTGGTCTGTGAGCGTAAATGCGTTCAGAGGGCGTGGCTTTGGACGGCGATTGCAGGGAGGGTGGGACGTTCGCTTTCAGTGCTATCAGGCTAAAGTAAGCATTTTCCAAGATCTCCTACTGCACCTTTAAATACAAATATCCACTTAATCTTTAACTTTTGGCCAGCTTTTTGCTATAGATGACACAGCCTCTATAATTTCTTCAACAAAAAAACATGTGGACATCACAACCCTTACAAAAATTAACCATGGTTTTATCGTAGTAAAACCCACTTAATTTTCTTTTGTGTGATTTCTGAATGCTTGAGACTATAAAATCAATCAGACAAGTGTATTAACAAAATCATAGCCATAGGTATCTGTCTAGAGCTACACTTATAATTTGTAAATAATACAATTTAATTACAATTTATTTATTTATTTTTATATTTTATTAAAGTTCTATTTTGACCCCTATAGTATGTTTTTTTTTTACTTCCATAATATTTGAGGGAGGGGGCACAACAATACAATCCTGCTTACTGCTTAGGGTACCGATTTGGCCAGCAGCGGCCCTGACCTTGAGATATAACTCAACGTTGTTGTAGAACATTGTTGTGTATAATGCCTAATCATAAGCTTGTTCAGAAATGGTGACAAAAACTTGATTATTAAAAAATAACGTCTTTCTCGTTAAATTCAAATATTTGTTTTTTATGAGCCAAAATATTCGAATACAATACATGTATATATTATGAAACAAAAAATAAATAAATGAGGCTTGATCATCTAACACACGTGCGTGTTTTTTTAGCACTTCTGTCAGTGAACACGCAGCCTGCAAAACACTAAAAAAATATCAAAGAAATAATACAGTTAAATAAGAAAATAGCCTTAAATAAGAACGTTATAAATACACCTTGTCTACTGGACGCGAGCGGCGTGGCACGACAAAATAGGCTATACAACCCATTATAATCAGTGATGTTGTCTACACTGGATGCGGCGCGACATGACACGACATGACACGACAAATCCCCGACAGTAAACTGATGCCTCGTCCTATTTATGATGTACTGACACAAAGTTCAAATGTCCTGTAGACAGACTCAACCTGTTGTGCTGCGACGCAGCGCGACAACTGTCCGGTGTAGACACGGCTCACTGTTCCGCCACCAAGTAAGCGGGTGTGTTAACTCCTGGTCTGCACGCGCTCTCTGTGGAATAGAAATTGCGGCGGTTTCCACATTTCTTTTTAGCATCTTCCATTTACGCTGTCTCGTAACTTGTATTTGGCCAGTTTGGAGAAAGCCTCACCAATACAAACCTGACCAGCCGGGCATTTGCGATCACGGGAACTTGTAGACACTTGTACGAACGCGGATAGGTGACATGAATGGAGATGGCTCCAGATCGGCGATGTATTATTTGGTTTCCAACAAGGTCCATCGCTCAACATGAAATTAATTTGCTGAATGCAGAATAAACTGTATTTTCCTGCGCTTAAACCTGCTAATCTAAAGCATGATCTAAAGGAAACGCCGTATGGCGTTTGAGGTCATTTGTGAATTAACATAGACTTATAGTCTAAATAAAACAACAACTGTTACTGTTATTACACTTGTATACGAAAGCTTTGTATCATGCATGTTGTAGATTGTGTGACGTCGCGTGCACTACCGCCGGTGGCAACCAACCACCGCCGTGACGCGGTTGTCACGGCAACCGTCACAGCCCTATATCCCACCTGGGTGATTTGGAGAATTCCGATTGGACGACTGCTGGAAGCTTGAACTGATTAGATTTGATGGTCTGTGAGAAGGGGTGCAGTCAACATTGTCCTGAAGAGAAAAATGGAGAAGGTCAGACAGTTCAAGTAGGAACATAAAAATATATATGAAGAGATGCATGCGAGATGATGTCCCTTGTCACTTTGTGCCATGACCAATTGCCCCCAATACTTCATGAGAATTTTAGCCTATAGTGTGCTAACGTGGATACTCCTAATCGTTAATGGAACCATTCACCCCCAAAATGAGGATATTGTCATCACTTGCTCACCCTTAAGATGTTCTTGTATGATTTATTTTCTTCTATCAAGTAAAAAAAAGAACATTTATTGAAAAAATAAATACTGGTCATTCTTCAATATGATGAAAGTGAATGAGGATTGAAAGAAAACAGGGCTGCTCGATAATGACAAAAATATTAATCACAATTATTTTGGTCAATATAGGGATCACATGATTGCAATATATTGCATATATATAAAAAAATTATATAAAAAATAAATATGTTGAACTATGTTGTAGTGCACTTTCATAACCTACTGAAAACTACTAAACATTTAGGGAAGGGTGAAAGCACAGTGCTGTCAAGGAAAGGGGTTCACTGGATTCCTAAGAGAACACAAAACAAGAGCGAAATGGGATACGGCACAACAATCATTTTATCATGATTATTTTGTTTTCATAATCATTGAAAACAAACTGCATAGTAAAATTTGATTAATCATGCATCCCTAAAAACTAGGAACCATAACCTAAACCATCATAAAAGTGGTCCATACAACCTGTGCTCTATATTTCAAATCTTCTGAAGTCATGTGATACCTTTGTGTGAGGACCAGATTGAAATTTACAATGTTACTCATTGAACATTTTGACATTTGAATTCATGTATCAGTGATTTCTGATTCATGATCATGAGTGAATAGTTTTTTCTGAATTGGATCTTAGTTAATCAGTTTACAAAACCGGAATGAATGATTCACTCATTGATTGATCCAGTTTTCACTGACTTAATGATCTAGTCACAGCAGAAAACAGCTCACTAGATGGGAAGTTTTGGTCTATTTATCACATTAAATTATGTAATTAAGTATGACTTGGAACATAGTGCATGAACCATATGAAATCGTTTTATGATACTTTTATGATGTTTTTGCCCCAATCTCATTTAATGTGGTCATTATTGGTTTGTCTGATATTACAGATCATTTGTTATGTACAGAGTATTTATGCATTTTTAACCTAAATCACAGCAGCGTCCATCTGTGACCATGTGATATTTCTGTTTTTCTTTTTTAATAAATCTGCAAAGATGTCAACAATTCTGTGTTTTTCTGTCAATATGGGGTGCTGTGTGTACATTAATGAGGAAAAAAAATTAACTTAAATGATTTTAGCAAATGGCTGCAATATAACAAAGAGTGAAAAATTTAAGGGGGTCTGAATACTTTCCGTACCCACTGTATATGTCCATAAAACAAATTGATGCCAATGCACAAATATACAGTATAGCATGTGTAACAAATGCAAAAACAGAATCAATGTGAGCAAAAAATATATATAATGCATGTCTTTGGCAGTAGCAATTATATGCATATATGAGTGTATGAAAATCCCATCCATCATTCCCAATGCATCAACATAGAACGACGAACAAAAAAGGCAAACTATGCACAAAGCAATGGTTCTGCTCTCAAACCGCACACAATATCTCACACCATATAATTCAAAGCAGAATGCACAAAGCTGGAAGAAGTAGTCCAAGAAAAAAAATTATAAAAATAAAGCCACATTTTCAATTTCCAGTTTTCTAGGAAACCTAAGAACATGGAAGCCGAGTTTCCAGGAACTAGCCTCTGCCAGAGGTTCCCATGCTCTCTTTTCTGCCTGCCTTCTTTCTATTTCTCTTCTGCTCTCTCTTCACACTGCACCAAGCCAGCTGGCTCTCAGAAAAGAGAAAAACATCTATAAAAATGAGAAGGGAAATTTACAGCTCGGAGAAAGCTTCTCTAATGCTTTAGCCCATGTTTCAGTTAATCTTGCGCAGTGTTAAAAGACCAGAAAAGTCAACAAATGCTGCACACCAACACCAACAGAAAGATTTATTTTATTTAGATTATTTTAAAATTCAAACTGTAAAGGCTTTTTACATAGTTTTACTCTCTTCAAGCAGGCTCTAAAGTGGAACACACCAGGATCTGTAGCAGGGGATGACAGAGGAATGCGAGAGGGTGTGTGTGTTGTACTTGGATGGGCTCCAGGCCTTGTGTCCGTTATGTAAACCTTAACCCCCCAGCTGATTCCACGGGGCAACAAATGCGGCGAATTTCCTAGAAAGGCAGGTCACGTGACCCATGTAGAGCCTTGGCTATTGACAAGGCTAAAGAGTAGTTAGAAAGCCAAAGCATTTTGGAGTTGACCTCGGACCTCGAAAGCTATAACTTGGCCATTCTAGGCACTGCTGTGATACACAAACACATTGACAAACATAAACACTACTCAACTTTCCCATTTGGCTCTTGGTGACCAGAACTCCCGGCTATAAACCTGAAACACAATTCCAAGTCTCCTTTTGACCCATGACCTCTGACCCTAATCTTTATCCTCATTAACTACAAGCAACTTAAGACTTGCAACTCTCCATGTAACTTATCCCTAACCATAACTAAAGAGGAGGAGAAATAACGAATGACAGACTGACTGAACTAAATTTGCAGATAAGATACTAAGATACTTCTCAGATAAAAATGGATAAGAATACATAAAGAGAAATACTGGGAAGGAAGGAAGAAAAGAAAAAGGGAGTGTAGACCAAAAAAAGAGTGAAAATAACTAGTAAGAAAATATAATGATAAACCGATATTAAAATTCTGGCCAATAACAATAAGCTGATACATTTTTTCATATCATAGCAATAAATGATCAATATTAAAAATTCTATTATATCTTCTAAATATATAAATAAACCTAAAAACTAAATTCATTTAGGCATCATTATAAATGTACAGTATGATATATAATGTACAAAATAAAAAATGTATATACAATTTGAGATTTGCTAAAGATTACATTTAACAGCGTTTTTTTTAAAGGTTAACTTAAAAATATCATAAAAATATATGGGAAAAAAGCATGCACAATTTCAATAATACTGATAAATCTCTGAAAAATAAATAAATTAATTAATTAATTAATAACAAAAAATCTCTCTAAAATCACCAGCATCATTATGGAGCGCTAAACTCTCACATAATGTTTCATTCATACTCGACACTGGAGGGCGCCCTCACACAGAAATTCCACATGACTCATAGGAGTAAAAAAAACTTATGAGTTCCAGGAAATCCCTGTAGGCATTTTGGTGTAATTGTTCTTTTTGTATGCAATGTTGTGATTCATTGGTCAAAAAAGGAAAAAATAAATAAAGATGAATTTGACTGATAGCATAGTTTATTTTAGGGATGCACCGATACCGATACTGGTATCGGTATCGGGCCCGATACTGGTCTCCTGTACTCGTACTCGTTAAAATGCCCCCGGGCGAGTACTGGAAAAAGTGGTATCGGTGCATCCCTAGTTTATTTTTTTATTTTTTTAAATTTCCAAATAAATCACAATATATCATTATCGTGATTTTTTGTGGCCATGATAATGGTGTAGTGAAAAATCTGATATTGTGACAGCCATAATTTAAAAAATCATACACATTAATAAATATCCGTTGTATTTCATATTATAATTAGTTCATTATTCATATTATCATTTTATTCATTTTTATCATTATCGTTGGATTAATTTCAATCCAAAGAAACTTGATTTTTTTGTTTTATTAATAATTTAATTATGTATTTAAAAATGTATTTAAATATTTATTTAATGATTTAATTTTAAATAATTTGGTCGTTCGTAGAGATATGATGCATCTGTAATAAATAAATAAATGCTAAAGTAGAATATGGCCCCTTTAATGCTTCAAAGAGAAAAAGAGCAGAACCACATTACAAGCCAGGGTGCCTGAGTTGTGTATGCCTAAAGGGAATATTTGGGCTGTGTTGCCCCCCTGCTTGGGAAGATCCAGGCCAGGTGCCTGTGGCTCTGAGAAACCCCTGCAGAGTTATATACGGCCACAGACAGAGGGCGGCCCACACCCCTGCCTTCACTGTATGCACTCAAGCTCTGCCACGTTCACAAGCACCAGCCACTTGTATAGGCCACCCGGGTGGGGGCAGGGAAGAGGGGGGAGGGTCTGAGAAAGAAACAGTTTGTGGAAGCACTGGAGAGTTTATAAAAGTTAAACGAAAGGAAACATATCAGAGAGATTGATATATATAGAGAGAGGGCTGACTGCGTAGCCCAGGTATAAATAGCAACAGCCGCCACTTTGCATGTCAGCATGTCAGCTGTGCGGCACCATGGCAATGCCATGGTGACGAAAGGCATGCGGACATGCCACAGAACCCTTGGGAACCGCTGTGCTGAAGCGGTGAGTCCCCTCATGCTGGTTTAGGAGGATTTGTGCATGTGAGCGTTCAGGTTTTCCATGTATATTCCGTTTGAAGAGTCATTACAGCACAGTCAGGAAACACTGAAAACTTGAAAGCTCTGTAGACTCCATTGCTTCAGAGGGAGTAATACAGATACTGCTATACTAGTCTTTACCTGGTAGTTTGGATGATGGAGGAAGTAGTCTGGGCATCCAGCTAAGGCCATACTCAGTGTCCCCGTAATTGGTGTGACTGGTAACATGCACCTCCAAACCCCTGCGCAACAGTCTGAGAGAAAAACGGAGAGAGACTTGGTTAACATCGCAAAATTACCGAATCATAGTTGGGATCAACACTAAAAATGAGAAACTAAACGAAAATAATAAATTATGATGACCCCTTTGCAACATTTAGATAAAAAATTGGTATTTTGTTTGCAAGCAAATCAGCATTTTTTTAATGAATTGTTTAAGGGAATGAATCATAAACTCATATTTTTGGTCTCGCTTTCTTTGAAGCTTGTGACAGCTTTCCTGCTTTCAATAAATTAAGTGTGGTAAAGGTAACTTTCATTCGTTGGACTTATTGAACCAATATGTAAACAAACTGAATCAGTGAGGCATATTTGAGCGACTCAGTTGAGTGAATGATTTGATGATCACTCATAACACAAAAGACACACTTGTCACGGTCACCACCTCCTGGTCTAACAATGTAAGTTGCAAAAGTCACTGAACCATTCACGAAACTAAGCCAAACAAATCTTTTTGGTGAAGAGATTCAAAAGATTCCAATCACTGAGATAAAATCCCCACTACTATAATGTTAAACGCATATATTGGTAAACCATAACTTATGATTAACAAAATTGCTTCTGTTTGCATTTTTTCGATACAACACAGATTTCTTTTTTTTCTTTTTTTTTTACAGTTTATATTACAAGCAGATTACGTTACCAGAGAAAAGTCTATTGTTTCACCCGAAAATTGAATTATGACATCTTTTTTAGGAATTATTAGTTCAGAAAAAAAGAAAATTTTCATTTTATTAATTTACTGAATTTATTTGATGCCGACTTGAAGTGAAAATGACATTCTTAGAATTTCTTTGGAAGTCTTTTTAGCTTTAATGACAACAGCACTCAAGCTGTATGAACTCAACAAATTTGTTTAAAACCATGATCATGTTATCCTGCGTAATCCAAAGAGCTTTTTTGTGCTCCAGTAAAAGCAATGAAATCTGTTTTATCAAAGTTGCTTTTCAACTCATTACTATGTTCCAAACTTATAGTATACTGCTACAGATATACTAATCAGAGCATGTGGTAAAACAATCAAGCACCGATAGGTATGGGCAGTTTGTGACTGTAATACTTTGTCCGCTTTAGCACTTTGACAGCCAGCTTGTTTGAGACAGCATGCTACATGACCAAATCTACTACTTAAAATAGCATTTCATTTCAAACTTATCTCGAGAGAGCTGGGGGCTGTGCTGAGGTAGGGCTTAAAAAGTGAATTGGGAAAGAATGAAAGAAAGAGCTGGAGAAAGACAAAAAGAGTCAACTGAAATACGAGTTTTGATTTAAATCCTGGAACTTTTGGATACAACATGCTTGAAGGCACCGAAGCACTTTTTGACAGGGTACTTTAGCACCGCATGAAAGTCCAAACTGAGGATCCGTAAGCCCAAACATGTGGTGCTCAACGCTGGATTCAAGGCTCAATCCTGGAGCAGCTGAACAGCATGAGCACAGCACCAAAACCTCAAATTAACATCCAGCATTGAAAGACCGTTCAGGCCCGCTATGCATCAATGGCCAAGCTCATTATACTGACAGAGAAGAAAAGCGACACTCATTCATGCACATACACAGTGATTCTTGCTGATGCTTGAGACCGTACTCTTATAGGTTGTCTCTGCTAGGCCAGCAAAGGTAGTTCAATTAGGTGCATGAAGTTTAAATATGAGTAGTCAGAGGGTTCCCTGAAAGACTAGTTGATTAACCTAAAGTACACATGAAATCAAAATTGACTATATTTATTTTGTTAGCGCACACTGCTATTTTTGTGGTGAACAATTCATCCATGCAAGTCAATCCACAAAAAAAATAAAAATTGTTTACCTTTGTAATCTTTAATCCAAATCTGAAAATGCACCTCCCCTCTGAAATGACGGACCTTCTCTGATGACGTCAGTTTGCTTGAGCATAACATCCTTAAACACGCCCTTCCAACTGTCAGTGTTGTTCTGAATGAAACGCCTACTTTATCCAATCAGTTTGCAGTAGAAAAAACAAGCCACGCCCTCCGTTTTTCTCATCCAATATTCCGTTTCTCTCAGAAGTACGTCACAATATAGAAGTAAAGTCGGTCACAACTTCCGGTTCACGCGGACCAAAAATCAGGCTTAGTAGCCAAATAAGACTGATTCTTGTGTTCAAAAACAGACTAATAAACATCCTAAAATTGGTGGTAGATTGGTTAACTAAAATAAGCTAAAATTGGTTTATCATGATCAGTCAATAATAAAACCAAATACTACATAACACACACATAATATCAATAACTACACAAATTTACTAAAAGCCAAAGAAAATAGATGTTTTGAGCTTCACCTTAAAATCATGTAGCGTAGTAGCAGTTCTAATGAAAACAGATAGACCGTTCCAAAGATTCGGAGCAGCAAAAGCACAATCACCTCTTAGTTTCAACCTAGCCCGAGGAACATTTAGGCCCTAGTAGTCTCTGGTTAGATGACCTCAGAGATCTTACTGGATTGTGAATGGATTGGATAGTAGATCAGACAGGTATTCAGGTGCTAATCCATTCAAGGATTTAAAAACCAGTAACAACACTTTCAAATCAATTCTGTAATGGACTGGAAGCCAGTGCAGAGAAATTAAAACTGGAGTAATGTGCTCTCGTTTCCACACAACTGTAGCCTGGCAGCGGCATTCTGTACAATCTGAAGGCGGGAAAGAGATGACTGATTAATGCCCATATAAAGAGAATTACAGTAGTCTAGTCTTGTAGAAATAAATGCACGAATCACCTTTTCAAAATCCTTAAGAGAAAGAAATGGTTTTACCTTAGCTAGGACTAGGAGATGGAAAAAAATGGTTTTGACCACAGAAAAAATCTGTTTGTCAAATTTAAGAGAATTATCAAAAAACACACCCAAATTCTAAACTCATGGTTTGACAAATGGAGACAGCTGACCAAAATCTAGACAAGAGACAATATATATATATATATATACACACACACATACTAACTGTGCTAATTGAGTTCATTATCTGAACATGCTCCACCTTTGCTAAAGGTTGATTATCATCATTGGTTGATTATCAAAATGCGCTCTTCCCGAACTTTGTTAATAAAACATCATAAATGGTGGTAGACGCAGCTCAAAGACCAAATACATCCATCTGAATGTGTTTGGCTATAGCAGTGGGACTTTAAAATGGATAAATGTCCCATGCACATTGTCAAAGCACAGCACATTGTCCTCCATCTCTACCAGAAAAGAAGCCTTGCATGTGTTCAAAGAGCATGGTATTGTCTAGAACGTCTGGACATGCTAAACACTACACGCTAAACCGACTGACTCATGTGTCTGTGTCATAATCTGAAAACCACATGCCTTTGGTTGACAACAATGAAGTCATTTTAAACCGAAAATACTGATGAAACTTGTGAAATAGCCATGGTTGAAGTTTTAAAGCCTGCGTGAAGTCCAGATGCATGACAAATCGACTTTCCGTAACTGCTTCAGTGCTTTTTAAGTTCACCAGGGTTACTTTCTCTGCATCATCTGGTGATTCGAAGAATAAAAAGAGACCGAGGACCTAACTTGATGTTGAAATCTACTGCAAAAAAAAAAATGAGAAAGACTTTCCAAGTTCAAGTGGTTCCAGTTCATTTATCTTCACCTCCCATAGTTTTGAGCGCTGATTGACAGAGGCTCTATTGTTGTCAGTTACGTAATCCAACCTGTTATTGTTAAGATATCAGACACTACATGAAGCTGCCACATACCGATATGGTCCACCAGTGTTTTGGGTAGCGCTCCGTACAAGAACCGACAAGAACCACTGTGTATAGAGCAAAGCACAACCAGACTTGATGAGAAATATACACAAAGCTGTTATAGGGCAAAACTCATTGTTTAGAGATGGGTGAAATGCTTGATGTATCAGGGATCCCACCACTGCCTCTCATGTCTTCTGAGGAATTTCAAGGCCTAGATGCTAATTCCAAGAATGTCCCGTCTTCCCTTTAGTAAGTACATAAACACAGGTCAAGTGCCCCTCTTTCCTTCTTAATAGAGTCTTAGCATTCTTTCTGGAATGCTCAATTAGGTGAACAAGACAACCACTGAAACCTACTGTTTTTTGTTTTTTTTTACATCAAGAGTCACCCACCACCATCGGTCAGGAAATCCTGTAGAGAAAGCCAAGTCAACCAGGTCAAATGGATCCAAAAATGACAAGATAAAGGTGCCTTAAGCTTCACGTCTACTGCAACTTTGGCTATTCTAAATGCAAACAAGTATTGTAATGTATGCTGGGAAATGCCAGGATGCATCATCCAGCTCCTCTTTACATCATAGTTGTACAGGGTTGAAGCTAGGCTAATCAATATGTTGGCGTGAAATGTGGTACACATGTGTGGACTTCAATATCCATGTGAATGATAATGGCTCAGAAAGAAACATTCTAGTCTTTTTAGCTCTACTTACAGTAGTGTACTATATCTGTCTGTTATGTAAAATCCAATGACTGACAGTCCAGGTGGACTGTACTCTTAAATTTCTGGCCGATACCGATTCGCCTATAACCAATATTTTGTCTGAGCTACATTACTGCAGCAGACTTCCAACACGCCTGTAATTTTTAAAGCCACCCTGAACACCTTGATTAGCAAAAAAAAATTCACACCATTATAATGTACAATATGAAAAATAGATATTCATGTTTAGATTTACTAAATATTACTTAATATTGCTAAATGTTGCATAAATATTACTACTGTGTTACTGATAGATAAAATAACCATTTCCGATAGGGATGCACCAAAATTTTGGCAACCACAAATATTCAGGCCAAAAGGAAAAATAATAATAATAATAATAATAATAACAACACAAAGTGGGTCCCAGCCAAAATAGTCTTAGGCTGCGTTTACACTTGGCATTAACATGCGATCACCGTGATCCGATCAAGCAGATCGGATCATCAGTCAATCAGGACACGGCGCGTTTACACTTGGCATTAACATGCGATCACC